TAATCTAGGGCTTAGGAAATTATTTCACTGAATTAGCCTGTGGGTAGATTTAAAGGAAGCATTCGAAGAGGAGCTAGCTGAGTAGAAACAGAACAGAGGAACTGAACACTGAGCAGCACCCATTTGAATATATTAGATCTATGTTTACTTAGAACTTTGTATTAGTTGAAAGCCTTTTATCTATTCTAAATCACCAATTGAATCATAAGATCAAATAAAGTAGAGGTGAAGCATGTGCTAAAATAAAATACTGATCCACATAATTTTGGTTAAAGTAAGCAACAACTCATTTCTTGTGTTAATATTGGTTTTAAAAATGCAGAACCAAGACCAGAAAGGGAATGGGTACAAGCTGCAGTGATGCTGACGGCCTACCATAGGAAAATATTTACTCTGATCCTAAGTATTTACAACGTTTTACATTATAGATTAAAAACAAGCTGGTTGCCTTACATGTTTTGTTTCATCGTGAATACTTGAATTTTGAAGCGTTTTCAAATAAAGGTCAGGTCAACAGTACTCTGAGTCCTACAACAGCTTGGCCTTTCTACCAACAGCTGAAATCGGAGGGGCTTCTGCAAGCTGCCCGAGCAAAGAAGGTATCTGAAGACACACGTTAGTAACAGCGTTTCAAGTTCAAACGACAGAAACAATTCAACTGGCAGATACCGTGACGAACTTAAAAAAAATGATCAGAGAAGGAAAAGTAATACTGGCGTGGACTTGGCGTCTTTAATAGCGTACAAGTTCATTTCAAATATAAAAAAGAATTGTCATCTTTTGTAAATAAAGTTTCCAGAGATAGAGCTGGTTTCTAATGCAGCCAATCATATGGCACTGTCCTGTCATCAAAGATCTGGTTCCCTTCTTTCTCTGCTCCAGCGTCTACACGTAGCTTTGTTTTATAGCCAGCCAAAGCAAGGGGTCCAAGATGGCCTTCAGTAATTGCCAGTGCCATTATATGCTCATTTAGCAAACAGAAAGTGTATATTCATTAAAAAAGACTGAATGGTTTTCTTAGCATTCACAGGAAGTTTCTTTCATTTGGTTTAAGTCATATGTTCAGCTGTAATGAAATCACTGGGATATTTGATTATTGGCTTAGATTAGGTTATGAGGTCCATGTCTGAGGCTGAGGTGGGGGTCAGCATCCTCAGAATCATGTGCATTTCTTAAAAGAAACTGGGGATTATTGAGAAGGAAGGAAAGGTGAAAAAGAAAATGAATCCTAATAATATAATTAAAAAGCACCTCCAAGAAGACTCTTCCTTCGGGCAATAAAATAGATAGTGAGAAATTTTATTTTAAACAATGTCTTGATTATATTTTGAAGCAGGCAGATATCTTTTCCACTTATGAGAGAGACATAAGTTGATAAGATCTTCTACAAGCTATATAACATTTTAATGAGAAATTAAATAGATGTTAGTAAAAGTAGTGCTTTTTATCTTCAACATCTCAATAAGAAAAAGACAAAGATTTAGCTATTTAGAAAGAGTCTGGTCCAGGGCATCAGTTAGACTTGGAACTATTTATAGGGTCTTTCTCCTCTTGTGTGTGCGTTTCAATCGATACAAGATAGTCAGATCAAGCAACCCCATAGAGAGCGTGATGGGACTGATGATTTGGGGGCAGGGGGAGTGGAAGGTGCATAGCAGGGGAGGAGGTAGGGGGAGCTGATTGGTGAGCCAATAATGACAGGGACAGAGGAACAAAAAGGGTTATAAAATTGACAGTGAGGAGGGTGTAGAGTTTCTGGTCAGGTTAGATCAACAGAAAGTTTTCTGAGAGGAATTACTGAGAGGTGAAGGAGGGGAAAGCATAATAGTGAGGTAGAAGGGGAAAAAAGAAAAAAGAGGAAACAAGAGAGCAAAAATGTATATATATAGGTATAAAGATATACATATGTAAATATATAACTATGTAAATATAGGTGTATTTGTCTATACATGTACATAGATGTAAAGTCAACAAGAAAGCAGATGGACTTTGGGCCTCTACTAAAATCTCACCTAAGTGCAAGAACAGTTTGTTCTAATCAAGTGGCTTTGTATGATACTCACCTTCCCGACACGATTGCTGAAGACAAAATGGGTGCATAAGCAAATGTGATGAAGAAAGCTGATGATACCTGGCTATTAAAAAATATAGTGTCTGGGGTCTTAAAGGCTTATAGTCAAACAAGCGTCCATTGAGCAGGGAAGCAATGAAGTCCATATGGAAGAAGCACACCAGCCAGCATAATCATGACGTGTCAATAGGAATAGGTATTAGGAATTCAAAAACAAGCAATTGAATGGCTGTGAAGGAGCACGGACAAAGTGGAG